CGTTCAACACACTTTAGTAATGTAAAACTCGGAAGGATCGAATCATATTAATAATAGGCCTACCCACATGCTGATTATGATGTCATTGATCTACATGTTTTCTGTAGGCCTACCGGAACGATCGAACGTTCAACTCATTTTTCTCAACATCGAGTTCAGGCTAGACGGAAACAATCACACAAATAGGCCTCCTCTACACGGTTTCCCCAACCTAGATCACCCCCTGCCCTGCGCTGCCATTAATTGTAACGTATTCGAGGAAGTGCAGAATTAGAAGTTTAGCATCGATTCAATGGCAGCCTAATGAGAGCAGCTTAGCCCTGGCTAAGCTGGTGGGAGCCAATGTGTGTGCGGTGAACCCTGGAAATACCTAGTTCAGTTCCATTAACTGCCGGGGCCCACCTTGCATTTCTGCTTGGACAAGTAACAGCGTAGGCATACCGTTTTTCAGATGAGACGTTTAAGTGGTTGGTCCCGTGTGCAATACCGACGACCCAAGTGGAACAGTAAACTGTTCGAAGATATTAATAAATTGTCTCAAATTGCATTGACAACAATAAAATACAATACTGAAAACGTTTCTACAGATTTAGTGGGTAATCTTTTAATTAATTTTAATCAATTATGCACATTATTCCATTACTGCCATTAATAATAATTAAAAAAAATAGCTCCAACGGTATCGAAATACCTAACATGTACGAACTACAGGAAACGTCTATCTAGGACACATCACGAATTCTGAAGGTTTAGTCTAATCTCTGACTGGTTTGTGAGATCAGAAAATTATGACTGAACTGCGTTGACTGAGGTCAAACATTTGTTAAATGTTACGAAAAAGTTCTTCTGAACCCTCCGAGCCTCACACCTTATTCCACCCTATCCAATAACGTCCTCGATGCAGGCTCTCAGCACATTGTCTCTTCGAATGCTTGACCGCTGACCAGTTGGGAAATCACTGACGCCACCAACACTACATGGTGAAAAAAGTAGCTTCGATCCCTGTTGGTTCGGGTGTTGATCATGTAATTTAATAATTGTAAGACCTGTGTTGTAATTACAAAGGGAGATTAATTTCTAATGTAAGTCTAGAGAAAATACCCAACAATGTGAGAATACGAAAGAATGCAAGGTCGCGTTATTTCCACGGAATACTCCGCATACGATGTATCATATCAGAGAAAATTAAATTTGTCCGAAATGACGGCTATCCACACATTGAATATAATATCGCAATATGCGGTCTATTAGGATAGTGTTATGTTCACGTGGGATTAATACTTTTACTAATGATTGTTTAAACGCCACACATGAGGGATGGATCGGTCATCAGGGACACGAAGAAAGTGCAAGTGACGCTTGGGTGAAAGTTTTGGCAGTGGTTATTTATACACCAGCCTTAAACCAATCCTTAATTCTGATTGGATGTTAGTTCATGTATGGATCGGATTAGGCAAATAGCATCCAATGAGAATTAAGTATTCAGCTTTAAGAGTGGTGTAACAGTAATCACTGGTAAAGGTTTTTGATTTTTAAGTTAAACTTGTTTTTGCTTTTTAAGTTAAACTGAGATTGAGCTTATTATTTTTCTAAGTAGGCAAACAGTGCCTGCTGTTTGACGAATCATTGAGTTTATTCGGTTTTCATTGCAAAAACCACACCTGTTTGTAGAATGAAAATCATGTTATGATGCAACCGTTAAAAAAAAATGCATAGTTTATTTATGTTCCAAATTCTGTACCGGTACCTTATTAAATTAAAAACATTTTCCTTTCCAGGAACCAAAATATTTAAAACATTAGGCTTCTTCAATTCTTTATTGTTTTCATTCGATTCGTGTTGTTATATTGCTGGGGTTATTTTACCCTCTTATTCGCTTGTTGTTGCATTTGAATACACTGAATTTCTCACAGTTTTGATCTAAGATAGAACAGCTGTTACAGGCCCGGCAACAGACGCCCGGTTCACCAGCCAGTCACCTGAGGTAGGCCTATAGGCCTACAGTAAAACGACAAAGTGATGAGAGCTGATAAGCCTATTTGATTGCAATAAATGCCTGTTTACACATTCTTACAATAATAGACCTCATTGCGCTTCACAAGTCGACTGAATACACAAACATAATGTACGTCTTTTTTTGGAATTGCGGCACACGCAAGAGCGATGCGTTCTTGAATTGCAAAAATAGTACACATCAACACAATCACTGATCAACAACGCAATCTCAATAAACGGTATAATTATCATTCCAAAACTATTTCTGAATATAGTTATTGTATATAAAATTGAAAGTTTACTGAAGCCGTGGAATATAATGCACTGAGAATTTCTAACGTATAACCAATGTAGCGTTTAAAGTCATCATTCCATAATATGTTTAAATGAAAATGAAATACCAGAGCGAGTTCATTTTAATATGGGTGTATAGTTCTACACAAGAGATACCTCCGTGACGATGCTTGTAATGGTGCATTCACATTGGTGTATGTACACACGCGCGTTTTAGACTGCGTTCACACAATGGTGGATTAATCGTAATTGCTAATAACTCATTGTAAAATACCGGTATTAAATATAAAACTAACTTCATGTTCAGAGTTCTAAAAACTCCTCATGCCTATCTCATTAAAAAAATCCGATATCTTTGTTTTTGATTCGAGATAGGCCTATGCAAAAAGAAGAATGGTGAAACTTAATCCTTTAGGATGTTTGCATTATTATTATTGCTTATACAAAGTCCAGGAAATTCGCGTCCACAGTTTCACTTAAGAACACGGATGAACTTTTCGCATTCAAAGGGCATTGTACTTTACGTTCAAAAACGTGTTCCTAATCGTTTTAATTTTGAGCAGTGATTCCGAAAATGAAGGTCTTGCGAAGAATACAATTGATCTCTGCTGAGTGCGCCACCAACAGAATGGTAATCAAATCAATGATTATTCATAAACACGGGTCCTGGATTGGAACGGTATAGTACAAATGAAACTGATATGGGATGCCATCCACAGTGTAGTAATTGATCACAGGTTAATGATAATGATATGCGAATAAGATTCAAATGCTCAGCATAATGGTAGGCCTAACTTTTTAAAATGTATTGCTATTATTATTATTATTATTATTATTATCATCATCGTCATAGTCATCATCATAGTCATCATCATCATCATCATCATTAGGACCTACTATCACCATTTAATCATTTCAGTTATTATTAATAGTTGCTGAAACCGTTACAAAGGTACAGTAAGCAAGTACAGTAATTGATTCAACAAAACCAGATACCGCAATTTCCTACTAGGCATATTTTCATTATCATTATGATGACGATGATGATGATGGTAATAATAATGATGATGATGGTAATAATAATGATGATGATAAAGAAGAAACATGAAAATCAGTATTATCATTATGATGGTTATAACAAGCATAATTCTTAATAAGAACAACACGACAACAAAAGCAACAGAAGCAGCAAACAACAGTAACATCAATTAAAATAATTGAACGAAATATTTCCTAAACCGTAAAAATATATGAAGATTACCGGTACTGTAAGACCAAACTAAATGGTATAGTAGGAAACAGAAAGAAAAACCAACAAGGAAGACCAAACCAAAAGCAACATGGTTAAGTAAAATTAAGGGGAAAACCAAGGAATTTCTACATGGGTCTAAAAACGTGTTTCTAATCTTCGTTTGTTTCTTTCTTGATTTTCTTTTTTAATCGTTTTAATTTTGAGCCGTGATTCCGAAAATTAGGTCTTGCGAAGAATAAAATTGATCTCTGCTGATTGCAGATACCAACAGAATGATAATCAAATCAATGATATTTCTAAATACGGTCTTAGATTGGAATGATAGGCCTATTACAAATGAAAATGATATGGGATGCCATATTGTAGTAATTCATCACAGGTTATCTACACTGTAGCGGCTCTAGTGTTCATTGTACATGTGATAATATAATACATGATAAAGATAAAGATTCAAAGGTTAAACATAATGATTTTACAAATGGCAATGTACTTTTCTAAAATAGGTTAAGGATTGTTAAACGATGATGATGGTGATGCTGCTGATGATGATGATGATGATGATGATTATGAAGATGAAAATCAGTATTAATTAACATTAGGCCTATGACGATAGTTATAGCAATCATAAGAACAACAACAATAACAACAAAAGCAACAGCAACAAAAGCAACATCACTAAAAAAAATTGAACGAAATATTTCCGAAACGGTTACAAATACGAAGACGATATAAACAACTACTGTATGACTAAACCAAACGATATAAAAAGTATAAAAGTATAACTACACAAAGACACTCCAGCATACAGGCCTTAGAAGAAGGAAACAGATAAGTTAAAAAAAAATTTTAAAAAAACCCACAAGGGAAGACCGAGCCGAAAACAACATGGCTGAGTAAAATTCAGGGAAAAAACCAAGGAATTTCTCACGCAGGATACTGGTTTGCTGAAATCGTGACAAATGCTGAAATTTGGTAAAACGTGCAATGTCGGAAGACGAATAACGTTAATATAATGTTTAACCAAGTACAACCCTACACTCATAACACGTCAATTTAATTTGAAAAGATGTCCCGTGGCATACGGATCTACAGTCCTATTGCACTAACAGTTTAAATCGACATTGCTCAACATACATAGGAAATTATTCTGAACATCTATGTGACATAGACACACTATTTTGCTGATGCTGTACCAAAACAATGTATTCATAAAAGAACAATGTAATCATCAGCACACTCACGGAGGATATTTTATTCATCCATGTTTTCAACAATGTTTCTTATTATAAAAGATTTAAAAAGTGTGTATAACAAACAGAATTCTATCGGACTCAGCGAGCGAACAATTATACCACAAGTATTTTAAATTTAAGCACATGAGCTCAGTACCATTAGAGCTCTAAGAAGATAATATATCCGATAACCGTATAATAAGACAAATTTAAAAGTAAAATCATACCGTAAATACAGCTGCGTTGTCATTTGTGTTACGAAATGTTTAAGAAACCCAACGACTGTTTGGCAGATATTAAAATTCAGTTCCAAACGGACGTCACAGTAGCGTCTGTTCAATAACAACGCATACAAAATGAGACCCGACTATTGTCAAATTTTGGACAAAGCAAGTGGACTGACAATAATAAACGGCCTTGCAGTTATACGCATGCTAAGGCATATTTAGCTACAATGGTTTAGACCAATAAACTTCAGAGTTTTCTACCAAGTCTTAAATACAAGGGGATATCCCCGATGCGAGCACAAGTATGTGGGACCACCGCGGCCCAGAACTCTCGAGGAGGAATCCCCGGTAGATATGGAAGGCTTAAGCCCCTATCGCACTGGACTTAATTTAGTCAAATTAACCGAGTCACTGGCTAAATTGACCAAAAAAAATTCAATCCGAACGCCGGTTACAATTCCCTCAGGGTTAAATTAACCAAGCCGAATGGTTAATTTTACCGACCTCAGCCTGCCCAGTAAAACTTACCACGGTCTCGGTTAAACTAACCACGTTGGTCAAGAAGTCCAATCCGAACGAAAACTTCTTCCACGTTGAAACCGCTCGAACAAAACCGGAAGTTGAAGTCACAAACTAGCGCCCTCAATAATATTTTTTATACACAACAAAGATCTTATAAACACAAGATAAGATCTTTGATACACAAGGTTAAATCTTGGTAAAACCATATGGAAAATAGAACAATTCTATTTTCTCTATGGTAAAACTAACCGCGTGAATAATCCAAGTGCGAACAATGGTGAAATGTACCCATGACTTAGGTTAAAGTTACCCTGGTTAAATTTACCATTTTTTAAATCCAGTGCGAACAAGACTTTATTTAATCAATTTTAGAGTTCCATAATGTAAAAATAGAATATTACAAATGAATTTCGGCATATGTTTTATTCTATTCAATAAATTAATTGTCACTTAGCTCCCGACCGAGTGTGGCGGGTGGAGGGAGGAGGTTGCGGAGCGAGAAGCTCGCCCTGGCAACACCACTGGCTTAATAATAGCGATATCACAACGGTGTTAAGAGTGTATCAGGATTTATAAACAATTTTTTTTATTATTATTTGTTGAGAATCGTATTTTCAACCTCAGGAATCGAACCAATCACCCTTAAGCTCTGTCCAGACTATCAAATTTTCTTTTATAAACATAATCACGGCGTGATGTCACCATGACTTTATTTAGGCATGTCACATGGTATTGTCAAATACTATTTGATAGTGTGG